ACTGTATGGAGTGTTTCCTCATAATATTTCCCAGAAGAAGCATATATAATGTGAAGAGAATTGGTCCAAGCACTGAACCTTGTGGCACTCCATGGCTAACTTTGGTGTGCACAGAGGACTTGTCATTAACATGTACAAACTGAGATCGGTCTGATGAGTAGGATTCAGTAGGATTCAGTCCCTGTAATTCCAAGAAAATGTTCTAGTCTGTGTAGTATGATTTGATGGTCAATTGTGTCAAAAACAGCACTAAGATCTTACAAGACGAGCAGAGAGAGAAGTCCCCTGTCTGAAGCTAGAAGTAAATCATTTGTAACTTTAACTAGTGCAGTCTCAGTGCTATGGTGGACCCTAAATCCTGACTGAAACTCCTCAAATAAACTGTTGTCATGGAGAAAGTCACACAGCTGATTAGCTACCACAAACAACATGACAAACAGGAACAAACAGACATAAATCCTGTCTGTTATTAATGAATGAAAACAGTGCTGAGTGTGTAAACTCCTCCTCCTCCTCCTGTTCCTCCTCCTCCTCTTCTCCTCTCCTCAGTGTCTTTATAAGCTTCAGTGTCTCTTCTCCTCACACTCCAACCCTGCTCACCTCTCAGCTGGACAGTAAGGGACGTTTACAGCACACACTGACAACATGCTGGGGACCCTGTGCACTCTCATCACTGCTCTAACATGTAAGGAGGCTGACTTACTGCAGCTTTGAGCTCATGTTGGATTCATCAGTCTGTGTGTTTCTCTTGACTCCATGTCATCTTGTTGTTTCCAGGTGTGAGTGCTGTGACGCTGGTGACACAGAAGCCTCCTGTTGTGACTCTGAGGAGAGGAGAGACAGCCACCATGGACTGTAACCTGGGGACTGTGACTAGTTATTCTGCTAGTTGGTACAAACAGATTCCAGGAGGAGTTCCTCAGTTTATTCTGAGCAACTATCACTCTATAGCAATCTATGGCTCTGGTTTCTCCTCTCCAAAGTTCACATCCACTCATCAGTCACAATCAGATTATCGTTTGATCATCAGCACTGTGGAGGAGAGAGACTCAGCAGTTTATTACTGTAGCACATGGGACAGCTCTGTCAAAGAGTGGGTATCACAGTGATTTACACCGTGACAAAAACCTCCTCACTGAACACTTCTGCTTTTTGTCACTGCACTTAACTTTGACCACAATGAAGCCACAAAAGAAATTCAACACTATTAATATTACAGTGCATACATTTCAATACACTATTATTCATCTTGTGTGATTTTTTCAATGTTGGTTAAATATTCTCTGGTTAAAGAATTATCATGTTGTGTCTCCTGTTCTTTGAGTCAGCTCTTGTCTCACACGTTCATCAACAGGTCCAGAACTGATGCACAAACACAACATGTCTACATTCCCTGAGCAGATAGATTCAAAGGAACACTTGCTGTGTTTTTCTTAACTTCTCAAATGTGCTTCTCTTATCTGACAAACAAACTGTTTGTCTGTAACCTTGTACAAACAAACATAATATGCCTTGATTAAAATGTAATACCATTTAGTGATCTTAGATTGAGCCTGAGCAGACTCAACATACCATTTTATGAAATCGCACTTTACCTTTATCCAGGAAGACAGATGGAAACTACTGGCAATGTAGAGTCACCAATTGACCTAATGAGCATGTCTGGACTGTGGGAGGAATCCAGAGTACCTGGAGAGAGCCCACGCATGCACGGGAGCAAACTCCAAATAGAGAGGCTCTGTCCAACATACAATTCAGACTTGAAAAGCTTCTGTTTCTAGATTATGAATTTCACAGCAACAAAATTGATTCATTATCAACGACCACCTCTTCACAGAACTCTATTCACATTTACATTGTGTTATAAAGGTTTCTTTTTGGTACAATCATGAAGAAACTTGAACAAAACAAGAAAGGATACTAAACAAAGTGTTCTTCAGGGTGAAAAGAGTTTGATAAAAGTCCATCAGTGTTGTTGTAATGTGAGCAGACTGATGAAAGAATGACATGTTGACAGTGAAAGTTGCTCTCAACAGGATGTTTCAGTTCCACTCCCCTCATTAGTGAGAGTCAGGAGGTTTTTGTACAGCCATGTATACAAACTGAATCACTGTGGTATTCGGACAAGGCACCAAGCTGATTGTGACGAGTAAGTACTTTGAAACTCATCATGAAATGAGAGAGATTTGATCATTCTTATTCAAACTGATCAGTAATCATCATTTGTTATTTAACTCATTGTTCAGATATATTTTTGTGTGAACAACACACATTTATATTTAGTTCTCTTTCTGACACCAGACTATGTCTTGGAATGAAACAGAAAGCTTTCAAAAAGGTTTCAACATTTGTATGAAATAGTTTCTGTCAATTCTGAAGTATGTTGATGTTTGAGGAATGTTGAACAGTTCAGATCAAATTACAAAATGTGACAATTCATGTCCAAATATAAACGGCATGTTTGATCCTTTCTAAACCTTTGTTGAATCATCTCTAAAATGTTTCTTACAATGTGATATGAAGAGTTCAAACTTCTAAACTTCTTGTGTTTCAAATGTTTACAATTTTTGATGAGTTAGTTTTTTCAATTAAAAACATGCTCTGGATTATTTCCTCATTTCTAAGTGTTAGATAGTTGGTTAGAAAAAAGAATTGAATTGTTATTTCAGGACAGTTGTTTCATATTTCACATAGTATTTTTCATGGCACACAAAGTGTCTTTATGATATTGTTACTGTCATAAAAAATGATCCTGATTGATGAATGACTCATCATTTTGATCATCATTTCATGATGTTTTTACATGTGATGACAACATTCTTTACTGCAGCCTGTTTGTCAAACTGTGAACAAAACTAATGAGTTGATGGTCTCTGTCATACTTTGTATTGAATGACTTCACTTGTACTCATGTGTTCAATGTCCTGTGTGTGTGTGTGTGTGTGTGTGTGTGTGTGTGTGTGTGTGTGTGTGTGTGTGTGTGTGTGTGTGTGTGTGTGTGTGTGTGTGTGTGTGTGTGTGTGTGTGTGTGTGTTTCAGGCTCCAGCCTCTCTCCTCCTGTCCTCACAGTCTTCCCTCCGTCCAGTGCTGAGCTCCAGTCCAACAAAGCCTCTCTGGTCTGTCTGTCCTCTCAGTCTGTGCCTTTTGCAGATGTGAGCTGGTCTGCTGCTGGGAGTCCAGTGAGCAGTGGGATCTCTACCAGCACGGCCGTTCAGCAACCAGACCAGACTTTCCAAATCAGCAGCTATCTGTCCATCCAGACGTCAGACTGGAACATGGACAAGGTCTACACATGTCGAGTGTCTTTGGGCTCCCAGACTTCAGAGAAAACCATCAACAAGTCCCACTGTTCCACTGAAGACCAGTAGAGGAGCAGAGGGACCATTTCTAATCTGCTTCTTGACTCTTTGTGCTGTTTGCTCATTACAAGGTTCACATCTTACAGTATATGTCTGCATGCTTGTAATACATGTTGTGTCTATCTGTCCATTAAACCTTCTCAAGTGTTAAGTTCCTCTGGGCTCCCACACCTCAGAGAAGAATTTGACCAAAGACGATGAATAGATTGATCAGCATTTTTTTATGCATAACTGTTGGTGTGAACACAGCTTTGCTTTATTGTGCATGGATTATTTGAAATAAAAGCATTCTTAATTAGATACAAATCTGTTGAGTTTATTTTGTCTTAGGTAAAATGTTTGTATGTATATACTCAAAACAATCAGGAAAATACACACATACAAATCAATAGGGCAGGTGCAGAGTCGACCCAAAAAAATCACTGAAGACAAATCAGACCGTCTGATGAGGAGTATAGTCGTGATCAAAATGTCACACTGGTGAAATACATTTCTGGTATATTTAACCCCTGCAGTGCACAAGACGCTTTGTCTTTGTCTTTTGTATAAACTTATAGCTGATACAAAAACCTCTAAATCAATCAAATATGAATCTTAAGATAATTGACTGCACTTTAACTGACTCTTTTCAAACATGCACACATAAATGCATCAAGAGTTGTCTCCCCCTTGTGGTTGAAGTCAAGCCTTAGAGTTTTTTTCTTCCATATGTTATGTTTAAGAATGTGATGTATTGAAGTACTTGTCATCCACTTACTGTTTGTCTGTGCATTATTTTTAACCCTTTAAAAGGAAACAATTATCTTTGCACAAGTATCTATGTTTCTGGATTTCATTTGTCAGAATCTACTTCAAGGCAGGTCCTGCAAAAAAGATTAAGCTATGATTAAATATACACAGCCTTATGGTGCCTTATAATCAGCATCAGTATGGTGCAGCCACTCAAAACTAAATCTTTAAATGATTTAAATATGTAAAGATGATCAAAATTATTATTATTATTATTTTTACATTTTAACTGATCCTACAAGTTTCTACATTTAAGGACATTGTTAAGGTATTTGTCTGATTAACCAATTGATCACAAATGAAAGATCAGTGTGTTTCAGGTCAGAGACAGTTTTACAGTGAGCTGACCTTTGACCTCTTCATTTGCATGCAGCTATGAATAAGGAGAGGAGGCCTGCAGGTGCATCCTGAGGAGGAGGAGAGGGAGGAGCAGAGAGGTGATGCTTCACTGATGGAGGATGAAATCTCAGTTTCATTTGTTCATTTTATCTGATTATTCTAATAACACTTCCTATGCAAGAAACTAAAACGAGGCAAATATACAATAAACTGAAAAAGCTCTTTGTTGATGCACAGGTTGACCTATTTAAAATAGAAACATCTTCAAATACTGTTATTAAAAAAAAAAAAAGATTGAATCAATGAAATGTTTTTGTGTTGATTAATAACCTGTTGATAAGACAAACATCAGTAATGAGGAAATAAACAGTTCAACCATTTTTTATTTTTTTTGTTATTTTTATTCATGAGTTCAATTAAAGAAAATTCTTCATTAATCACATTTTGTATCGCATAATTAATGAATCTGTAGCAAGTTGCAAAGCTGATCCATCACCTCCACCTAGAGGTCACAACATGTATTACAAGCATGCAGACATATACTGTAAGATGTGAACCTTGTAATGAGCAAACAGCACAAAGAGTCAAGAAGCAGATTAGAAATGGTCCCTCTGCTCCTCTACTGGTCTTCAGTGGAACAGTGGGACTTGTTGATGGTTTTCTCTGAAGTCTGGGAGCCCAAAGACACTCGACATGTGTAGACCTTGTCCATGTTCCAGTCTGACGTCTGGATGGACAGATAGCTGCTGATTTGGAAAGTCTGGTCTGGTTGCTGAACGGCCGTGCTGGTAGAGATCCCACTGCTCACTGGACTCCCAGCAGCAGACCAGCTCACATCTGCAAAAGGCACAGACTGAGAGGACAGACAGACCAGAGAGGCTTTGTTGGACTGGAGCTCAGCACTGGACGGAGGGAAGACTGTGAGGACAGGAGGAGAGAGGCTGGAGCCTGAAACACACACACACACACACACACACACACACACACACACACACAGGACATTGAACACATGAGTACAAGTGAAGTCATTCAATACAAAGTATGACAGAGACCATCAACTCATTAGTTTTGTTCACAGTTTGACAAACAGGCTGCAGTAAAGAATGTTGTCATCACATGTAAAAACATCATGAAATGATGATCAAAATGATGAGTCATTCATCAATCAGGATCATTTTTTATGACAGTAACAATATCATAAAGACACTTTGTGTGCCATGAAAAATACTTTGTGAAATATGAAACAACTGTCCTGAAATAACAATTCAATTCTTTTTTCTAACCAACTATCTAACACTTAGAAATGAGGAAATAATCCAGAGCATGTTTTTAATTAAAAAACTAACTCATCAAAAACTTTAAACATTTGAAACACGAGAAGTTTAGAAGTTTGAATTCTTCATATCACATTGTAAGAAACATTTTAGAGATGATTCAACAAAGGTTTAGAAAGGATCAAACATGCCGTTTATATTTGGACATGAATTGTCACATTTTGTAATTTGATCTGAACTGTTCAACATTCCTCAAACATCAACATACTTCAGAATTGACAGAAACTATTTCATACAAATGTTGAAACTTTTTGAAAGCTTTCCGTTTCATTCCAAGACATAGTCTGGTGTCAGAAAGAGAACTAAATATAAATGTGTGTTGTTCACACAAAAATATATCTGAACAATGAGTTAAATAACAAATGATGATTACTGATCAGTTTGAATAAGAATGATCAAATCTCTCTCATTTCATGATGAGTTTCAAAGTACTTACTCGTCACAATCAGCTTGGTGCCTTGTCCGAATACCACAGTGATTCAGTTTGTATACATGGCTGTACAAAAACCTCCTGACTCTCACTAATGAGGGGAGTGGAACTGAAACATCCTGTTGAGAGCAACTTTCACTGTCAACATGTCATTCTTTCATCAGTCTGCTCACATTACAACAACACTGATGGACTTTTATCAAACTCTTTTCACCCTGAAGAACACTTTGTTTAGTATCCTTTCTTGTTTTGTTCAAGTTATTCTGCTTTTCTTGGATTTACTTAGTCAACATCTCGTGTATGCTGCAGTCAGTCTGTCCCTGAGGTTTTTGTCACAGTGTGAATCACTGTGATACAGCTTCAGAAGCAGAGCTGTCCCATGCCTGACAGAAATACTGAGCAGAGTCTCCTGTCTCTGCTCTCTTTATGATGAACTGTTAATCTATGTTTGATGAGGATTTAGAGTTGAATCTGTCTGAGGAGAATCCTGATCCAAAGCAGTGAACTGTGAGAGTGGTGAAATCTCAGAACATACTGAGGAGCTTCACCAGGAACCTGTTTGTATCAGGAGACATCAATCCTATCATCTCTCTGATTTTACACTGCATCAACATCTGTAACACACACACAGAGAAAA